TCCCCCATTTATTGCAGCCATATTGATTTTTGACGCCATCTTGGTTTTTTCTCTCGTCTCATCTGGTTACTGCATTTAATGGGTTACCACCAACAAATTATCATTTGATCGCAGCGACGCATTTAGAAAATAATTCTGGAATGGCCGTTTAAAAGATATCGTTTGTAATAATTGAAGCGTCATAATACTGTAATAATAAGTTGATTTTATATTACTTCAGTATTACATTATCGATCTTCAGGCCAAAATTAATAACAATAAAATAAAATTATCTAATCGACCATATACAGCATATTATAGTTGTTTAGTAGCAGCAGTAGAGCTCCTTGTGAAAGAGTTCGTCTAGCGAAGTTACAGCACATGAGATTTGTCAACTTATGTCTCAGGGTGACGGGCGCAATGACAGTGCGTACTTTGCGATTTGAAGCTGCTATGCCACTGTTATGAACAGTCGTGTCGCATACCACCACGCGCACTTCTTCGTCCCGCTGCAAAATGTGAATTATTGTTGACAATATTTTGAAGATAATTATAATGTTTACTTACATCTGAGTTCGGTGACATTTATTCAAGTGGATAGGGGTGTTACGAGTAAGCAAAACGGTTTGCCAGCTACGTTACTCGCCCATCAATTAATTGCGGTGCACGGGTAAAACGTACTCACGTTTTCGCTGCGGCGCCATGTTTTTTTGTAGGTACGAACTCTACCACTCTACCACGCGGAGGTGCTGGATTTGATTCCCATGCTGGGAGAAATATTTATACGGCGTACATTTGTTTCTCTCGTGAGTTTGGCTGTAATTTGTGTAGTTAAAATAAATGTAGGCAATACAAATATTTTTCCCGGCCCGGGAATCAAATTCGGGACCTCTACGTGCCAGGCCAGCATGGTAAGCGTTCGGCCACGGACGCAGTTAAGTTATTGTAACATACTCTGCCCATTACGATATCTGATTGTTACATAATAACTGTATAAAGGTAACCAAAATAAGCATTTATATGACTTATGATCGCATTAAAAGCTTTTATATGACTCTCATATGATTTCCAGCCGAACAGCTTATACCACTACTTTGATTGTTAGGAAATAACTCTCTTATGCAACTTCAAAACCGTAAAACAAATTTTCGCGCCATTTTACGAGGTCGTTTAATGGCGTACTTACATGGCGCGGTTATGGCGCGAATCGGCATATGGCGCCGGTTATAAAAAGTGACCATTGGAAATAATATACCTACTTACTTGTGGATATTTTGGCTGCGGAAATTAAATGGAACGTAGTCTATAATAAAACCTTGGGCTATAAATTCGAGTCACCTGTTAACAATGTTGTCAAGTTGTTCAGTAGTATGGAGCTCCTTGTGAAAGATATTTAAAACTATTAGTGAAACTTACGCGCCTGGCCGTTCAGAATAATATCAGTAGAATTACATAAATAATTCTAGGGCTCTGATTGGCCGGGGGGTGTACGCAGTGCGTAGGGCCGGTACGGTGTGGGAGACGCCGAATCTTGTAAGAATCGGTGATTCTCTTTCATTCTTATTCGATATTCCGATCAGAGTTGCTGTTCGATTTTTCAATTTTTAAGTCAGATGGGCATAGAGATAAGGTGTTCAAATAAGTTTTTATGGAAATGTATACAGTCTACTTTCATAAGTTTCGATGAACCGGAAGATTACGAAGTTATACGGAGTTTTATTGAAGAAACCAACAAGTCTGGTCCGTTTATTAACAATTATTTTACAGCTTCTGCATACTTGGATGACAAAAATCCGTGATAGCGGCCCTTTGAAATAAATATAGTAAATAATAAATGTGTACAATTGTATATTTACAAAGAGCAACCCCTAGAGTTCTTTTGCTCATTTTGCCGTTTTTGAAATAAAACGCAGCAAAGTGATAAGTTCTCAAATATCCCTTTTAAATAGCATCAGATAGTGCTCAAAATTATCTATTTAAAAGCAGTCGATTAACATATACGAAGTATCGTAACACAACCTAATGATGCGTAGCATACAACTACAACTCGTTTATGGCTTTTTAAATGATATCTCAAGCACCGAAATGCAGCTCTACTGCTACTAAACAACTAGAATATGCTGCACATCTATACAGGATGTCAAAAGTTAAAGTTAAGAATATTAAAAAATACTACCTATATTGTATGGGTGAAGTAGATAATAAAAGTAAATATAAAATCAATGATCAAATATCTGTCTGTTAGATTTTTATTGAATTGATATTCAATTATTTTTTGTGAAATTACTTGTTATAATTATTAATACAAAGAACACTCAGAAAAAATTCCTTCGATCCGGCCAGATTCGAACCGACGTCTTCTAGAAAACCGTGCCAAATGCTATGCCAACTAAGCAATGGAACGAACCAGCGGCACTCACGAATTTTTGTCACGAATATATTACTTTAAGAAATATGATTTAAGAGTCTATACAACCTCAAATGGCTTTGGTTGATTCAGCATAACAGGGAAATTGTTGAATCAATCAATTTGGAAAAATATATAGTAAAATTCAGGATACACACTGTAGGTTTTGTGGGTTTTAGCCATTGACTTACAATTATATGGACGTCGGGTCCGCGCTAAAAAGTGTCCGCACTTGTAAGGCGCTAAAATCGTATACAGAGCGCGACACTCCGCTTTAGTCTTCATTTGTTCTACGGACAGCGCGATACTGCGATGACATAACAATTTAAATTTCGAATAGGTTGACTTGGGACATTTTTTTCGTGGTTTTTGTATTAGACCCGTCGTCCATTTATTTGTAAGTCAATGGTTTTAGCCTAATAAAAGATGCTCAAATTATGCACTATGAACTTTAATCAATAGTAATTGGCAGTTTGAAAATTGATTACTATACGGTGTGAAAACACGATTTCTAAAAATGTTCACGATAAAAAAGAAAAATACAAAATTACCTCGAAATTTTACAAGAAAACCGTTTTATCGAGTTCTTAGGTTTTCGCGATTGTTACACACAGGAAATGAAACTATTTTTCCGGATTTAAATCGCGTATATTTGTTTTTTTCAAACAATCCAATGTTTCGGGCCCTTTACAGATTGGGACCTGTTGACTGGGGTCAACCGTGACCATGGGACCTGTAAAGGGCCCGAAACGTTGGGTTGTTTGAAAAAACAAATATACGCGATTTAAATCCAGAAAAATAGTTTCAAAACTGTTTTGTTGAATATGTACTTCGTATAATCCAATAACTTTTTTAATATCAACTAAACTAAGTATAACACGTATAGTATACGATATAAATTTTTGAAATGGCTTTTTTGCTTGTAAAAAAAATAAATTCTGAAATAAAGCCAGTGTCCCTACCGCTCGACCCAAGCAAAATGAATTGTATTAGTACGGGAAACATTTAAATTCGTGCTGAGGTTACTACCTCAACTCTTAAGTGGATTCAAGTTTTCTTTTGGATGTTGCTAACAATTTTCGCCTGAACACCGATAACATAATCCTTAGGAGCAAGACAGTTGGAGAGCTTTCCATATTATGCAGAAATTGTAGGCCACAGAGTCCATTAAACGACGCAGATGTTGTAGAAAATTCGATTTCGCAAGATATCGTGAAGATTTTATACCTATGGGACGTTTTAGAATATTAAACCGATAGTAACTGTTATAAGTTTATAACGTTATAGCGTTATAGCTTACTATATAACGGTACGAGAACATTTCACGTTTTTATTAGAGATTTTATTGTAGCGAGTCAGCGAATGTTATGTAGATTATGAAAATCTTCATACTTTACGGGCAGTCAACGCGTGTGCAGGTAGAACACACTTAATATACCAATATCGTTAAAGGGCATCTCGTTTGTCGTGTACGTTCGTTAACCGACATATTGATCCAACATTTTCGACGTAAAAATGTTATTTGACGTGTCGGATAACCTACGTTCCTTGCGAAAGAGTTCGTCCATTGTATTACTGCCACCTTACCTATTTCTGCCGCCAAGCAGTAATGTCAGCGTTACTGCGTTCCAGCTTTGAGGGTAAGGGTGCTGGTGAAATTACAGGCACGTGGGACTTGTCAACTTACGTTTCAGGGTGACGGGCGCAGTGGCAGTGCCCAAAGATCCGAATCTTTGCAATTTAAAGCTCTGAGTGGCACTGTAACTGTTATGGACGGGCGTGTCGCTTACCATCAGGCGCACGACTCGTTCGTCCCGTCACTTGATATTATAAAAAATAAACTTTAAAAAAAATTATAAGTACAGTAACATTTGAGTCGGGACCGACACGTATAAAGCGGTTTTCCGGTTGATTATAACAATTAGTTTCACATTTAGTACATTATTTAATATTATTGAAGAACATTTTCATTATTTGAAACCACAAAAAGTAACAAATAAAAACATTTTCGAGTTCTTAGGTTTTCGCGATTGTTACACATAGGAAATGAAACTATTTTTCCGGATTTAAATCGCGTATATTTGTTTTTCCAGACAAACCGACGTTTCGGGCCCTTTACAGGTCCCATGGTCACTCAACAAAAGTCAACCGTGACCATGGGACCTGTAGTTTCAATTCCTATAAAAACATTTTTTTTTGTGTTGATGGCGACAGGATGGCACCACAGGCGCAAAGAGCGCGGGCTTAAGCGTCTTTTTTTACTGGCTATATGACGTCACATAGGCTATAGCCTATGTCAGACTGTGAACAAAAATTTTTAATTTTTAAGAAAATTTAAATAATAAATTTAACTCTACGTTAAACGTAATTATATTAAGTAATATAATTAAATTGCATAATATTAGCCATGCTGCCTGTGTTAGACAACAAATTAGCAGTAACGACTTATGTTGGCCGATATGTCGTCCAACCTTTTTTAATAGTAAAAGATTTTAGTAATAAAAGATTTCTATTCTATTCTAATATAAACACTCAAAATTATAAGAAATCCAGAAAAATTCTGTATAATGCATTGCATATGGTAGTAAATACAGTATTCCACTCATGTTTTCAGGTTCCGTGCGTGCTTGAAGCTAGCTGATACGTCAGTGTCCAACATGGTGGGCAAGGTGTTCTTCAACGTCGTACAAACCAAGTGCTTCGTGCTCAAGCCGGTCAAGGTACGTGCTACATCATCATCATTTTAAGTAGCAGGAGAGCTCTTTGTGAAAGAGTTCGTCCAGGCTACTGCCACCTTACCTATTTCTGCCACCGCTGACATTACTGCCTTTCGGTTTTGAAGGTTTTAAGGGTGCTGGTGAAATTGCAGGCACTTGGGACTTGTCAACTTATGTCTCAGGATGATGGGCGCAGTGGCAGAGCTCCTCAGACCTTTGTGATTTAAAGCACCGCTGCAACCGTTATAGACAGGCATGTTGCTAACTACCAGGTGCACAGGAGGACTGGTTCATTCTGTCACCTTGTATCATAAAAAAACCTAATGGGCGGCATGCATCATTATTATTTATTATTATTATTACGAAAACGTTTATTTAAGTATACGGTTTTTTAATTTTGAGCAAGATATTTTTTTATAATATTAAGTGACGGGATGAACAAGTCGTGCGCTTGATGGTAAACTACACGTCTATCCATAACAGTTACAGTGCCACTCAGAGCTTCAAATCGCAAAGACCTGAGGGGCACTGCCACTGCGCCCGTCAATCTGAGACATAAGTTGACAAAACCCATGTGCCTGTAATTTCACCAGCACCCTTACCCTTCAAAACCGGAACACAGTAATGCTGACGTTACTACTTGGCGGCAGAAACAGGTAAGGTGGCAGTACTTCCCTGAACAAACCCTTTCACAAGGAACTCTACTGCTACTAATTGTCTAATTAGAAGGCGCCCAAAATGTTTTTCTAAATGACTTTGTAAGCTTCAAAGTAAAACGCGTTTAAATAAAAAGTCCCTTTTATAATCACGCTTATTTAAAAAAGTACAACGTTTCAACATTTAAAATTTATAAGCCGTTTTTTCCATCTCTATACAAGATGGTCCCGGAGAGGATTTTGTTTAAATAAAGAAACGTTCTCTCTTTTCAGATGTGCACACAACGAAGCTGGTGGGGTAAATGCCTTCGACGAGGATACATGAAGCAAGCATTCTTAAGAGACAACCTGCCATACTAATGAAAAGAAAAACAAATACAATTTAGTGAAACAAAACATGAACAAAAAGGAAATTCAATTTAATAAAAAGAACAAAATTGAAATTTGAATTTCGAGAAATCGAATTATAATTTTGAAATATTTATAATTTTTTATGGAATGTGATTTGAATTAGAAAGAATTTTAGTTGGATTTAAATGAGTTTTTAATGTAACTGCCAATGTTGGAAAAAACCTATACGGCTTTACCGCTTTCCTTGTCGTAAGTAACGATATTGGCATCTAAAATTTTATTGTCACTTAAAGAAATATTAATTACTTCCGCTCTGATTTTGCTTAAAACAATAAAACTAAAACTAACTTGTTATGATAAGGAGGGCACAGTAGATACATATGCTGAAACAAAAGAATGTTACGTAGTGGAGAAATGCATTTGCAAAAGAAACTGCCTTCTCGGTTAATGATACATAATTGTTGGAAAAATTTGTCTACCTGATATTTTAACACGGTTCTAATATTTCAAAAACTTTTGCGGATCTGTGCTTAACAATTCACGAAGATCTTTTACGCTATCGGATGAGTAATAATGGAATGCATAATATAGATGAAATGATTTTCAGATAATTGTATTCGTAATGGAATTCTTATTTGAATTTGCAACGGTATGATTTTCTATCCGCAGAAAGGAATTTGATAGAAAGTGACTTTTGAATTTGGAACAATTTTGATGGTCTACCTTTACACATACACGCGACCTATAAATCGCACGTGTAACGATGCAATCGCGCGTTTCACGAACACACGTTTGCATCGCTGCTAAAAGTCTTCTCTATACTTAATGAAATTATTTAAAATAATCGTTCATTTGAATTTGGAACAGTGTGATTCTTTATTCGTAGAAAGGAATTTGACTTGAATTTGAAAGTATTTTAGTTGGATTTGAAAGAACTTATAAATATAGATAGTGAGTTGAATTTGCAACGATATGATTTTCTAATAGTAAGAATTTAAGTTTGAACTTTGAATAAAAAGTTTATTTTTTAATTTTATGTTTTGATTTAGAATCAGAAAAATAAGTTGTTATGGCGTTTTTTTTTATTAATTTAAATATTGCAGATGACGAATAATATTATTATTAGGTGTTTGAGAAAGCAATAATTACATGTAAATAAGTAAGTAACTAAATTTAACTATTTAGTGTTATTTATTTCGAAATAAGTATTAAGATATAATTAAAACTAATTTAACTTTAAGAAAATGTTAACCATAGGTTTATATAGCTTTTGTTTTTATTGTTTTTAATGTAGATTTCGGGCTATGAATATTTATAAAAACATCGTTTTTTTAGTGTAAAATGAACTATTTTATATTCAGATGGGGTAAGAAGAACATGCTTTATTTTTAGTTTTTTTTAGCTCCAGAAAGAACAAAATAGTCTTTTAAAGATTTTGAAGTACAATAAACTTCAACTTGTTTATCAGTTTTTAACAATTATTAAATTGAATATGTATTTACCTAACATTTCTTTTTCCCCAAAAGATGGGATAAGAAGAGCAATCATCGTATTTTTTATAAAGGAAATGTAAACCTCGTGTTTTCAAGATTTCACAACTGGATGCTGTTAAGCAATAACGTGTCAATCAACGTGTTCAGAGTTTTGCGAAAATGGCGTGTAAAGATTTTTTCGTTCTTTTTGGTAGTTTGTTCTAATTTGTTTTTATAATACCAAGTGACGGGATGAACAAGTCATGCGCCTGGTTGTATGCGACATGCCTACCCGTAACAGTTGCAGCGCCACTCAGAGCTTTAAAACGCAAAGTTCACAGAGACATAAGTTGACAAGTCCTGTAATGTCAACAGCACCCTTACCATTCGAAACGGGAACAGATCAATGTGACCATTATTTCACGTTATATATAGGCTAGGAACTCTACTTTCGCTATTTTCACATTAGAAAAGATGAATTGTTGTGATTTATTATTATAATTCGCCAACTAGGACAAGCACAAAAGCAAAAGTTATCATTGTATAAGTAAATTTTAAAATAAACTGTTAAAAAATAATGAATATATCTTCAAGTGCTGTTTTCGGAAAACTATGATCAAGTTGATTGCCACGTTATTGCTTATCAGCATCCAACTGTCAAATTTGTTTTTTTCGCCTGTTTTGAATTTGGAGCTATAATTAGCGACATCTCTTTAAAATTGTTGGAACTTATTTGTTTGCCTGTTTTATCGACTGAAAGACTCTAAACTCTTTAGTCGTAAGGCTTCAAGCCCTGCTCCCGGTGTTCTTTTTACCCCACCTATACTTAAATGAAGCGACTTCAAAATCATTGGTAAGCGACCGCCTCACGAACGGCCACCGGTGAACTTAGTCATTCAATGGAATATTACTTATACACGGTCTAGAAGCACCTGCTCCCAGAGTAACTGAATTAACCAGGGCTAAGCTAATTTTAAATCATTGGCAGGATTTTGTACGTTTGTTATTCTGCTAAAAGTTACGATTAGTGTCTGTGGTTAGCCATCGAGGTACTATTCAACTAAACTGAACTAACAAACTATAAATACTTAATAATTAATTGATAATGAGTATACACATATAATTTCTGACGAATTCATAATATTCATTAATATATATTATATTCTCTCGGCCTTCTCCATGACTTATTTTTGCTAAACAATTACTCCAAAAATTATTTTGACATCAATTTTTAATTTTGTCATTTTTTGTTTACGCCTCTCAAACTCAATTTTTTTTTATTCGTTTCATTATAATTATTAATACAAAGACACGACAACAAACACATAGAAAAAATTCGTGGGTTCGTTGGTTCGTTCCGTGGCTTAGTTGGTACAGCGTCTGGCACTGTATGCTAGAAGACATAGTTCGAATCCGGCCGGTTCGAAGCAATTTTTTCTGAGTGTTCGATCTTTGTCTTAATAATTATAACAAACCAGTGGAGTAATTTCACATAAAAAATAATTGAATATCAATTCAATAAACAAATTTAATTTCCATGGTAATTTTTCTATTTTATTTATTTCTCTTTCTAATGTTTCTTGACACCCCTAAACCTACATCGGTTTGTCTGGGTGCTGCACAATCCTCTTATAAACCTATAAACATGCACGGCAGAAAAATAACCCATTTTACTTACAAGTATAAAATTGACAACATTAACAAAAGAATAAGGTGTTTATCATTACGAAATAATTTTGAATGTCCGCAGAAAAAAACAAAACAACAAATATCGTAACATGCAACCCGATGGTTGCATTATACGATATTTGCTGTTATGTATACCTATAACTAGAAATAGAGACGAAATGTCATTTAATTTGTTTGAAAACTATTCTGCCTTATCATTACTGTGACAACTGCGCTCCGATAGGCCAGCCCGAATCCGAAATAATTGACGGGTGTCGTCAATAGTGGTGGGTAATAAATAACGTCACGGTGATCCGCTGTCACACAGTATTACCGTGACTCGTTCCGAAGTCACATAGGTGTTCCTCCGTTCCAATACAATGTACTACGTATATATAATACGTATATAACTACGTATATACGTTTGATACAATGCGCGATCTCCGTTCCGTGGTGACTGAGCACGCCACTCATTGTAGTTCTCTTCAAATCAGGCCATTTCGGCGATGACAGTGAGTGAGATAGGACGACTTTCTTTGCTCACTCACAAGGGGCGTAGGTGCTTATTACTACTATTTATTTATTTTATTTCATACAAACAAGGCATACAAGAGAATATAATTCAATTTCTCACCAAACTGCGAAAGCAGTTTGTTAGCGAGGTTACCCTCACAATCACGAAACTATAGTATACCTAGTACGAGTACATTTAACAAAACCAGTCTGAATTTACTAAATTTACATGCTTTCAAGAAGTATAAGTTTTAATTTTTTCTTCAATGTGAATTTACTTAACAATTCTCTGCCTCTCAAAAAATCGAATTTATTAAATATAATTGGCAAGAGATGTCTATTTGTTCTTTTACCATAATAGTTATTAACTCTTGGACATATTTATTTTCACGGGCTCGCCTAGTATTGTACTTGTTCGTTACATTAATTTTAAATTCAGTTGTATAATAGTTTTCAATAGCAGCCAAATATTGAACTTTTGCTTTTACAGGAAGTATTTTACAATAGGTAAATAGTTTATCATAGTAGTCATAGGTATGTTTCAAAGATTCGCGATACTAGAAAGGGCGGAGGAGAAAAAACTGCAGCAGTTACTATAAACCTATTTATTAACAAAGTAAAATATTTTTGTATATTTGTTTTATTATAGGAAGAGTTGGTATTTTATATTTATGTATAATCTACTTTGTGTATTCTACTAAAAGTGTGAAGGTTATTTCGGATCAACTTTTTGAATGGAATTGAAACTTATTACAAAGGGAGTAAAAACTTAAATCATTCTATAAAAAACGGCTATAAGTATTAGAAAGAAGCCGCTGACTAAAACCGTATATCGTGATGTAAGTTATAGGCGTGACAAGGTCACAGAAGTAACAGTCGTGACAATAAATCACCGTGATTTTTTTGGAACCGGAACAACAGTCACAGCGATAGAGTGTAACGCTATTCCCCATGTCTAGTCGTCGATGGGTGTAGTCAACTGTTTCACTTCAAAACGACCAGTTAACTTGAGCTTTGCTATAATGGACGAAAATTGCAAAATTACATATTTTATATTTAATTACCGATGATTCCGTTTGTTTTATAATTAGATGTTTTGCTCTTTTTCCCCACGCCTCCGAATGGAATAGCACGCCTTTGTTAGATATATTACCTTTATTACAATAAATACAGAATATTTTGGTATATACGGAGACGTACACACAGGTCAGTTGTTGGCCCTTCTGTATTCAGTGCAAACGAGAGTTGATGTTTGTAAGTGATGTATCACTGATAAGTTACCAGGAATGTATGGCCCTTGTTTCGTCTTTATTTCTGGTTATATACTCGATGAATGCAACACAAAAACCATATAACGTTTTTTTATCGCTAGTGATTGAATGAATGGATGCCATCACTG